GCTAGTTTTTTGTATTTTTTAGTAGAGACGGGGTTTCACTGAGTTAGCCAGGATGGTCTCGATCTGCTGACCTCGTGATCCGCCCGTCTCGGCCTCCCAAAGTGCTGGGATTACAGGCTTGAGCCACCGCGCCCGGCCGAAATTAAAGGTTTCTTAAGTGGCTGCCCACTGTGTGTGGTGAACCCGGGGCCAGAACGCAGGTGGGACGCAGCCTCCCGAGCGTCAGAAGCCGCTGGCTCCACAGGCCTGTCCGTCTAGTAAACGCGTTTTGGAGTCTCTGACGGACGCGACTCTGAATCCGGAAAGAAAGTGTCTCACTCCGAGATGCTGACCGACGCGTCCTGTATGGCGGTGGGACTCGGGAAGCCGGCGGCGCCCGGGGTGCAGGATGGTCGTGATGCCCCTCGATGGGGACACGGTGTAAAGGCGGCGTGGAAACTCAGCTCACGACCTTACGATAAATTGTAAAATAAGCTTTTTACCTGGTGAGATGAAAAGACCAGCAGGAGACTGCACCCCGGTAGGATGAACAGAGGAGACTTTTAAACCTGAAGAAATCGCCCAAAAAGCGACCACACGTTGGTGTCCTGCTGCGAGCTCCCCCCAAGAATCTAAGCTTGGCCACCTGGGGCCCCAGGAAGGTACTGACATTGTTCGAAGAACCGGTGCCTCCTGGCCAGAGCCGCCGTCTGGGGATGCACGCCCTGTGGTCTCAAGCAGTCGTCTGTTCAGGACTTGCTCTGGGGAAGCAGACCTGGTCCCAGGCCACAGAGCTCGTCCCAGGGCTGCCCTGCCCTCCCACCCCGCCCAGTACACACACGGTTCCCTGGCCTGGCCTGGGCCCGAGCCTCTCGCATGGTGGCGCTGGGTCTGGGACCCGAGTGTGGCCTCCGCAGAGCAGGCTCAGCCTGGCCCCACCCTACCCGATCCCTGTCCGGTCCCCTCCCCAGCCTCCTTCTCTCCTGGGCAGCCTCCCGAGGGGACCCACAGGCAGGGCATAGAAGGGCGGGGCCGAGCCCACTGGACCCCGGCAGATGGCCACGGGCGCCCTTACCTGCCCAGCCCACAATGTCCTGGGAGCCTGGGCCAGGAAGCAACAGTGGTGACCCGGCAACCGTCTCCTGGCAACCACCGTGGCAACCGTCTCCTGGCAACCATCACGAAGCCGGAGCCCAGAGGTGAGCAAGGGTTTGTGAGGACGGGGAGGGGCTGCTGAGGGGCAGGGCCAGCCTGGGAAGCAGGGCTGGGGGCTGAGGCTGGAGAAGGGGTCTCATGGGCAGTCACTGCTGGGCCTGAGCCCCGGGGCCTGAGCCCCTCCACCCGGCCCTCCCGGATGGTCCCTGAGCCGTCTCTCAGGCCCCACCCATGCTCCGAACTCCAGGACCTGGCCTGGGCCAGGCTCCCCGTGCACCCTGGCCAT